TTTAAAGCCGCAAAAATGTCTAAATATTTTAATAAAGAATTGGAAATATTTTACCTAATATTTTACTTCACTTTTAGAACAAAAATATAAACAAAAATATAATTTGTATTTATCTATTTATTTATAAATTAATACATTGTTCATTATTGAATACAAGACGCATCTAATAATAACCGTCTCAATTTTTCAACATCAGAATGAGGCATAAGAAGATCTTATACCTTTTTCATCATTTGTCAAAAAAATAATCGTGTAAATACAACTAATCTTTACCAAGATTAGGGACAAAGGAAAATATATAGGACTTTCATTCACTATATTTTTTCACAATGAATACAACATGCGTCTAATAATAACCATCTGAATTTTTCGACATCAGGATCATGCTTAAGAATATCGTATACCTCTTTCATCATATGCTGTAAAAAATAATCATCATGTAAACACAACCAATTTTTATCGAGATGAGTGACAAAGGCAAATATATTAGACTCTCATCCCTATATTTTTTCATGATGAATACAACATGCATCTAATAAAAACTGACTCAATTTTCGACTTCAGGATGAGACATAAGAAGATCGTATACATCTTTCATCATTTGTCGAAAAAAATAACCATCATGTAAATACAATCAAGTTTTACCGAGATGAGGGACAAAGGCAAATATATAAAACTTTCATGCCCTATATTTTTTCACGATGAATACAACATTCATCTAATAATAACCGTCTAAATTTTTTCACTTTAGAATCAGGCATAAGTAGATCGTATACCTCTTTTATCATTTGTCGACAAAAATATTCATCTTAAGAATATAACAAATTTTTAACGAGATGAGAGACAAAGACAAATATATAGAACTTTCATGCCCTATATTTTTTCACTACGAATACAAGATGCATTTAATAATAATCGTCTCAATTTTTTGACATCAGGATCAGGCATAAGAAGATCGTATACCTCTTTCAGCATTTGTCGAAAAAAATAATCATCTTGAAAATATAACTAATTTTTACCGAGATGAGGGACAAAGGCAAATATATTGGACTTTCATGCCTTATATTTTTTCGCCACGAATACAAGATGCATTTAATACTATCGTCTCAATTTTTCGACATTAGGATCAAGCATAGGCATAAGAAGATCGTATACCTCTTTCAGCATTTTTCGAAAAAAAATAGTCATCATGTAAACACAACAAATTTTTACCGAGATGAGGGACAAAGAAAAATATATAGGACTATCATGCCCTATATTTTTTCACGATGAATACAACATGCATCTAATAATAACCGTCTCAATTTTTTGACATCAGGATCAGGCATAAGAAATTCGTATACTTCTTTCATCATTTGTCGAAAAAATAATCATCATGTAATGTCCTATATTTTTCACGATGAATACAACATGCATCTAATAATAATTGTCTCAATTTTTCGACATCAAAACCAGGCATAAGAAGACCGTATACCTCTCTTATCATTAGTCAAAAAAAATAATCATCATTTAAATACAACCAAGTTTTACCGAGATTAGAGACAAAGGCAATATGTAGGACTTATGACCTATATTTTTTCACGATGAATACAACATGCATCTAATAATAATCGTCTCAATTTTTCCACATCAGGAGGAGACATAAGAAGATCATATACCTCTTTCATCAGTTGTAGAAAAAAATAATCATGTAAACATAACTAATTTTTACCGAGATGAGGGACAAAGGCAAGATATATGACTTTCATGCTCTATATTTTTTCACGATGAATACAACATGCATCTAATAATAATCGTCTCAATTTTTCCACATCAGGAGGAGACATAAGAAGATCATATACCTCTTTCATCAGTTGTAGAAAAAAATAATCATGTAAACATAACTAATTTTTATCGAGATGAGGGACATGCAAATATATAGGACTTTCATGTCTCATGTTTTTTCACGATAAATACAACATGCATCTAATAATAATCGTCTCAATTTTTCGACATCAAGATGAGGCATAAGAAGATCGTATACTACTTTCATCATTTGTCGAAAAAAATAATCATCATGTAAATACAACCAAGTTTTACCGAGATGATAAACAAAGGCAATATATACGACTTTTATGACCTATATTTTTTCACGATGAATACAACATGCATCTAATACTAATCATCTCAATTTTTCAACATCAGGATAAGACATAAGAAGATCGTATACATATTTCATCATTTGTCGAAAAAAGTAATCATCATTTAAATACAACTAATTTTTACCAAGATGAGGGACAAAGGCAATATATAGAACTTTCATGCCCAATATTTTTTCATGATAAATACAACATGCATCTAATAATAACCGTCTCAATTTTTCGACATCAGGACGAGGTATAAGAAGATCGTATACCTCTTTCATCATTTGTCGAAAAAATAATCATGTAAATACAACCAAATTTTATCGAGATAAGGGACAGGCAAATATATACGACTTTCATACCCTATATTTTTTTATGATGAATACAATATGGATCTAATAATAACCGTCTTAATTTTTCGACATCAGGATGAGGCATAAGAAGATCTTATACCTCTCTCATCATTTGTCGAAAAAAATAATCATGTAAATACAACCAAGTTTTAAGATGAGGGACAAAGGCAATATATAGCACTTTTATGACCTTTATTTTTCCACGATGAATGCAACATGCATCTAATAATAACCATCTCAATTTTTCGACATCAGGATCTGGCAGAAGGAAATCCTATACTTCTTTCATCATTTGTCGAAAACAATAATCATCATGTAAATACAACCAAGTTTTAAGATGAGGGACAAAGGCAATATATAGCACTTTTATGACCTATATTTTTTCACGATAAATACAACATGCATCTAATAATAACCGTCTCTATTTTTTGACATCATAGATCAGACATAAGAAGATCGTATATCTCTTTTATCATTTGTCAAAAAAATAATCATGTAAATACAACCAAGTTTTACCGAGATAAGGGACAAAGGCAATATATAGGACTTTCATGCCCTATATTTTTTCACGATGAATACAACATGCATCTAATAATAACCGTCTCTATTTTTTGACATCATAGATCAGACATAAGAAGATCGTATACCTCTTTCATTAGTTGTTGAAAAAAATAATCATGTAAACACAACCAATTTTTAGCGAGATGAGGGACAAAGGCAATATATAGGACTTTCATGCCCTATATTTTTTCACGATGAATACAACATGCATCTAATAATAATCGTCTCAATTTTTCGACATCAAGATCAGGCATAAGAAGATCGTATACCTTTTTCATCATTTGTCGAAAAAATAACCATCATGTAAATACAACAAATTTTTATCAAGATGAGGGACATGCAAATATATACGACTTTCATGTCCTATATTTTTTCACAATGAATACAACATGCATCTAATAATAATCGTCTCAATTTTTCGACATCAGAATGAGACATAAGAAGATCGTATACATCTTTCATCATTTATCAAAAAAAATAATCATCATGTAAATACAACCAAGTTTTACTGAGATCAGGGACAAAGGCAATATATAGGACTTTTATGACCTATATTTTTTCACGATGAATACAATATGTATCTAATAATATAATCGTCTCAATTTTTCGACATCAAGATCAGGTATAAGAAAATCTTATACCTCTTTCATCATTTGTCGAAAAAATAATCATCGTGTAAATACAACCAATCTTTACCAAGATGAGGAACAAACGCAAATATATAAGAATTTCATACCCTATATTTTTTCACAATGAATACAACATGTATCTAATAATAACTGTCTCAATTTTTCGACATCAGGATGAGGCATAAGAAGATCTTATACCTCTTTCATCATTTGTCAAAAAAAATAATCATGATGTAAATACAACCAAGTTTTACCGAGATAAGGGACAAAGGCAATATATAGGACTTTCATGCCTTATATTTTTTCACGATGAATACAACATACATCTAATAATAATCGTCTCAATTTTTCAACATCAGGATCAGGTATAAGATTTCTTATACCTCTTTTATCATTTGTCGAAAAAATAATCATAGTGTAAATACAACCAATCTTTACCAAGATGTCAATCTTTACCAAGATGAGGAACAAATGCAAATATATAGGACTTTCATGCCTTATATTTTTTCACAATGAATACAACATGCATCTAATTATATTTTTTGAGGGGATAAATTTAATCATTGGTGCACTAAATTTAGTTATCATTCTTCTTTTCTCTTTTATACTTATTTTGTAAATAAATTCTCTCTCTAATTAAAAGATCTCATTTGTTGTTTCTTTTATTAAAATTATTACCACTTTTTTCCCTTTTAAACCAAAAAATTTTATTCTAGAAAAATAAATGTTATACATTTTTTTTATTAGTTAAAATTTATTACTAGTTGTAAAATCACAAGTAAATAAAAGTTAAAATCACGTAATTTCATAATTTCTTTTGATAAGTTTTAGTTAATAAAAATATAAAATTACATTTTAAGGAATATGTTAAGCAGTTTGTTCCCAACAATTCCTCATCCAATTAAATGAATTAATCAGGAGAATCGATAATAGGACGTTTGGGACTATTTTTGGTAAAAAAAAATTATAAAAAGTGAGGATTTTAATAGTTTAATAGTTAAGTATAAGTCACTGTCAACCAATATTATTATTGATATGATTTTTTATATTTACTTCTTTTATAAAAATAAATAATTTATCATAAATAAATATTTGTCATTAGATGATAAACCCTAAACTTTAAAGCCGCAAAAATGTCTAAATATTTTAATAAAGAATTGGAAATATTTTACCTAATATTTTACTTCACTTTTAGAACAAAAATATAAACAAAAATATAATTTGTATTTATCTATTTATTTATAAATTAATACATTGTTCATTATTGCCTTTTTAGATGTGTTTTTATTTAATCTATTTTAAAATATTTTATAGCTACTAAAAAGGCCTATAACCCTAGTTGGGAACGGGTCATTCTAGTTTAAGAACGGGTCATTCCAAACATTGCCGTTATGAGTTAAATTCAACTCCAGAACGGGTCGTTCTAGTTTGAGAATGGGCCTTTCTAGTTTGAGAACAAGTCGTTCCAAATGTGAATTTTACACATGACGAATGAGTTTAGAACAGGCCGTTCCACATTAAACAGCTACAACACTGTTGGCAATATGACCCAGGGATGCCAAAACAAGCTAGTTATTTTCCTATTTCCAATTCAACACCAACCAATATCCTGCCAGGCCAGCCCATATCCTGTCCATTTCATATTATTCATAAGGACATAGAGAATTCATTTTCTAAAAGCCAAAAAGGATTTATTCAACAATCATTCACATGCAACACTACCCATATTAAAAAAAACTGCTATTAGTCATATAAATATAAATAACAATACATCAAGCTACCCGAGCAAAAAAAATTAAAAAAAAAAGCATATAGAGTTTCTATTTGGTAAAAGACTAGAGATCCGGAAACTGCTAACTCGTAAGCTCATGACCAAGAATTATGGTAATATTTGTATTCTAGTAATCAACTCAAAAATATCATCAATATTTCAAATTTTTTTCTTAGTTATGGGAAATTCATAATAACATACCCAAAAAAACAAATATTGGGCTAGAATAATTAGGAAGTCATTAATTTTCATTTTGTGAACTTTTACTTTTAAAAAAATATTTACAGACACCAATAAGATGTAAATAAGTTTTCAATCAATGGATCAGGGATGGGAATAAAACAAGTACCAGGAAGACCCAGGATGGCCTTGCACTACTTCCTTTTTATAAAACCACAAGAAACACAAAGTTTACAGAAAAGAAGAGAGAGAAAAAAAACAGTAAATAATTTTGGACAATATGGTAAGACACAGAATTTTGTAAAAATAATTACTGAACATATAAAATCTAACAGACTGCATAAACCAGTAAAAAAAAGTTGTAGTCAACATCTCATGCATATGATAAAATATCATAAATAGACAGAACAATGGCTATTCAGAGTGTGTAAAACCCATAAGATAAGTGGAGGCAAATAGATATGCACCTGCCGAACAGCAACCAAATATTTGATACCAAGAAGACTGCCATGACGAATCTCCCATTCTGGCCTACACTGAACAAAAGGCAACAACAGAAGCATAAAGATTAAAAACCAATGAGTCAGAGAACTTGAACAAAACCCATGAGAAAAGGAAATTGCTCCATGGGATGTAAAAAGACAGAAAATCTTAAAAGTAGTGCATCTTAAAGCAATGTACATTACATTTATTAAAAGTTAAGGAATTGCAGCATTAAATGATGTTTACCTGCATTTTCAACAATATGTTCAATGTTTCATTTACTAGTGCTGGATGCATATACTTAAATGCAGCACCTAATGCCTGTGCACAGGTTTCGCGCACTGGAGCAACAACCTGATCAGATACATAATCTCCAAAGCTGAAATAAAATAACCAAAAAATATCAAGAGACTTGCAGAAAAAATGACAGCTTTGAGGTCTCAATTGGACAATTAGCCATTAATAAGAGAAGACAGAAGCGCCAAATTTTGCCAGTCATTTACATAGAGCAAAGTTCAGCTGGATCTAGTTCATTTATTAAAAGATATAAAAGAACAAAAATATCATACCGATCAAGTGACAGCACACACAAAAAGCGTATCACACAGTCTTGAAGGAAATAAACAGTTTCGAAGCCAGGAACTTCTAGCCACTTTAACCAAGTTCATCAGCTCACAATTCTGAGGAAGATTTCGCAGCACATTAAGGTTTCCAGAGGAGTCCTATTGTCATCAGAATGACCCTTCTACTCTGCTATATTAGCAGGCTCCTTGCATGCATCACGTAAGCCATCAGAGTAAGATTCCAGATACTTGTCAGCAGAATTACCATTA